TTAGCATAAATAAACTTATTTTGGTTTCGGGCTATTCATTTAACAGCATTTCTAATGTAACGAAAATAAATACGAACATGAGAAGTATTTTTATATTCTGCAGGTGAATAGGGATTTTTTTAAAGTTTCTTATGTTTTTAGTTTTAACTACGTGTATGCAAAATAATGAAAGTGAATGTTACCTTGTCTAAATAAACATATAATATGCAGAACATAGCGGAAGAAAGTAGCATTTATATTTTATTTTATAAACGTCGTTTAACAGCCAACCCAATTTTGGGTTTACGACTACTAATGTTCAATTCCGTAGCCCTGCAAATTTGAACCCAATCCAGAAGACAAGGGAATTCCTGGATCAAGTACTGGGCGAAATATGCCTTCGTAGATGACTTTCTGGTGAAACTAACCCGTATTTGCGTTATATTCAGATAAAAAAAACACGAAAACCTTTAACGGTTAGTTCGATGACAAAGGGACTCTACCCCATGATCCGTTTACCACTGAGGCTTCTGCACTGTGGTCGGTGCGAACCTGGTGCTGAATTCGTATCGACCATCCATCGCTGGGATTCGACCCTGTTCACCTCAAGTATCATTTATGGAAGATATTGAGATATCTCAGAAAAGAAAAGACTTAATAGAAAATAGAAAATACTTATTAAGGCTTATTTAACAATTTTTGAATGCCTTTGAGCTTTTATCGAAGTGAAGAAGGTTACAAATGCAACAAACTGTCGATAAATAACTTTAGAAAGTCTCGTATTTCTAAGATCCTTAAAACGCCTTGAGTGTAAACGTTATTACGGGAACATTTTTAGCGATATTTAGTCAATGGGACACTTATAGACAAGAAATAATGGCAATTAGTTCTGCATAAATTGTATCTTTAAGTATGGAACAGCAGGTCAAGACGGAATGGTGAATATAATATTTGATTACTGCAACATAGGCAAAGTCAATATTTTCCAGTTTCCATACAGACCCTGTTTTTTTTTTTTTTTTCCGGACGAAGTTCCTTTCAACTATTTCCCTCGCATAAAAAAACTAACATTTTCAATATTATTACTAAAATTTGTTGCTATAATAACGCAAGGTTGGTATAAATGCAAATATTTATTTAATTTTAAAAAAAAAAAAACTAAATATTATACCTGTAATTCACTAATAACAATTCGAACAAGTATCCTATCACTAACACTTACTAATACACTTACTAACACTTACTATAACAATCAATATTATTACCAAAATTTGTTGTTATAATAATACAACGATGGCATAAATATAAATATTTATTAATTTTTTTTTTTGAAAATTTTGAAAAATATTATTTATGTTATTCACTAGAAATAAAAATAAAAACAAGTAGCCATTATGTATCTTAACACTTATAGCATTTTATTTAGTGTAGCACATTGAACAGGCAAGATATTTAAAATGCTAAATTCTAATTTATTTACAGTTATAAAATTGTTGTGATATATACCGTTGTTACAACTCTTCATTCTTATCATTAAGAAACTTATTCTGGCTTCGGGAAATTCACTTAACATACAACGTTGACAACATACGTTTGCAACTTTCTTTTAATTACAATATTATTATAAACACTACATGAATTCTCCAGTTTTTTAAACTTGAAACTTAAGGAAAAAAAAATTTATGAAAACCACTTTTAGTTTTTTTTCTCAAATAAAGTCATCAAATGTATAATGTATTTCATAAATATATATTTATTCGCATAAATTTCATAATTATTAGGGGGACCGGAAAGTAATGTCGTTTCTGCGCATTAAATATTCATTAGTTTTAAAAATCAATTCATTTTTTGCGATCCATTTCGATTCTTTTTCGATCCGGCATTCAAAGGTTGTTGCTAACGAAGGTGAATACAAAATTAATTAAAAATAAAATCTTGATAACAAATATCACATGCACCGAAACGACATTACTTTCCTGTCCCCCTAATATAAACTTTTCCGCTTCAATTTACAAAATTTAAAAAAAAATTAAATACCTAAAGCTCCCTTCTTAAAGCGTAAATAAGCGTTATTTTTCAACAAAAGCAAAACTTACGTTTGTTAAAAAAAAATCATTCAAATTTCGTTACGTTGTGATTAGCATTTAGCAATAACGCCCAAAACCAATTAACATGTTTCTTTTAGTTTATCCTTGAAAATGAGTTAAAGTTTTCGATTACAAATTTTTTTTTTAAAAAAAAAATACTTCATTTGTACCATTTTATATGAGAATACTTCACAATATTACATATGTGCTTACGTTATCTTTAAGAAATAGTGCATTGTTATTTATTGCCACTGTAGTTGTAAATTTAAGCTTAAAATTTCAATCATGTATGATGGTTTTTCCATGTCTGGTCCTCAAAATGGTAATTTTTTAAGCCGTTGAAACATGTTCACCAATATTTTTTTGCTTGAAATGAGTTATCTATTAATCTAAATGAATTAAAAGCGGTTGTCAGTTTCTGACTCTTTTTTTTTTTTTTTTTTTTNTTTTTTTTTTTTTTTTTTTTTTTTTTTTTTTTTTTTTTTTTTTGCTCAAACGTTTTTACTACTCAAACTATCTTATTTACTTCCTCCGTTTACTTTCTTTCCCAAACATTTATTATCTTGGGTTACATAACAATCTTTCATCACCTTTACCTTTTGAATGATATCCAGAGTTGCTGTATTATAGCCAATTACCTCACTTGTACCACTTAATTATACAAAAAATCAAATCATATCACCATTTTCTTCATCTGAAATTCGATTTTTCTTTGGTTTCGTCTTTTCTTCTATTGTACTGTATGGTATTTCTCCTATTTATTTCTATTGAACTTATTTCTGTTCATTTTATTTTCTTAATGGTACTGTATGGTATTTCTTCTATTTACTTCTATTGTACTTATTTCTGCATATTTCATTTTCTTAATGGTACTGTATGGTATTTCTCCTATTTACTTCTATTGTACTTATTTCTGCACATTTTATTTTCTTAATAAACTATTTGCAGCCTTTTTGTTGGGGGTGGGGCAATGGATGGCAGATGCTACTCTGAACGCACAGCGCCTGTACTTCCTCAGCTTTATAAGTAACTTATATTAACTATTAATATTTAATTTAATTTTACCCATTGCATCATAACATCAGGGATCCCCCTGGACCAAATGACTGGTCAGTCCATCGACCTATAGTGTTGCCATCTATCGTGATCTACACTTCTTTTCATAGTGATTCTCTCAAATTGATGCAGTCACGTGTGCAAATTGATGCAGGTCATCAGTATCCACTATGTGCCCCTTATGGGAGGCGGGACAGGGTTAAGCCGAGCTTTTCTTCTATTGTAACATATTCTATTGTAACAATTAACATAAAATTGGGGTGGCTCTGAAGATTAAGAATGCTTTTAATTTTACCATTCTTAAACATGAACTGAACTTCCAGACAATTTGTTGATATTATTTTTAACTTCCTGAAGGATAGGGAAGCTATTTACTTAATAATGACTGTATTACTAACAAGAATATTAATATGGGAGTGCCGTCATCGCTTGGGCCAATACTCTGGTTGGTACCTGTCAATATTTTTAAATATTCATGCAATAATATTACAAAAGGGTAGTATGAATTCCCTTTTATCTCTTTTGCTTTCAGCTGGTTTAAGGATGCTTTTACCTTTTTGATTTTATTAAGCTTTAACTTTTTGCTATATTTAACAACTTTTTGCCTGTTGCTTTAACGTCCCCTTTTTAGGGATTTATTCATTTTTGTCGATCAATTTTTACCAACTTTTCTTGTTTGTGATCTTGACGGGGTCAGTTTTTGCTATATCTGTAAACGGAGAATCACGTTCTGTATTTTCGACTTCCAATTCTTTTAAAATTTATAAGAGTCATTTGACTCGTTGTGAATGACTTGGTCATTAACAATACATTTGCTTTTTATAAGTATTGTATGTAATTTTAATGTATAAATATTCAGTTGCTGCTATCGGCATAGTTCGTATTTTCTTTGATTTTTAATAAATGCCACTGAGGAGTTTCTCCGTGTCTCTGGTACGAATCTGCGCCTTCTCTCCTGGGAAGGGGGGGGGGCTATAGCGGCAAATAATATATTCCAATTTCCGAAGGCCCTTTTTTAAGGCGGTATGGCCATGAAATTCGAGCAAAAAATCTGACTCATTACAGAAAAATGTTACTTATTTCATCAAATGTAGATTTAGTTTTCTCGTTTTTTTATGTTGACCTTTTCCCACGCAATAAATATGTTTATAAGTATTCCGAAAACTGCATAATGTTAAGCACGTTCATGTAAACGACGAATATCTGCTGGGCATTTTTTGAAGCTAGATGTCCTTTAAAAGTAAGATTAAATATTAAAAAGTAGAAAGCGTGACACGTGTTTTCAATTAATGAATGTAGTTGCTTTATCTGTAGGTCAGGCATATCAGGGTTAGTAATAGAAAAATATTTTTTTTAAAAGTTTTTTAATTTTTAACCAAAAAAAATTTCTTTTTTTTTTTTTTTTTTTAGAATATTTCTGTTTATTGCATCGAAATTGAAAATTATATAAGATAGTGACAAAAAATATTTTTTTAGTATTTTATTCATGCTCTTTGCATCTTTTAAACTGTAATTTAAAATCAGTTACTATTACAATTTATTCGAATTAATGAGCTTTTATAAAAAATTATTTGATTTATGATATATTATTTTGGATGTATGAAACAAATCACAAAATAGGCATATTTTTCGTCATTAAAAACTGCCTTATTTATAATTTAGTAAAAAAATAAATGACCCATACCTGCAAACGACTCTAACATGTTTTTAAATTTAAACTAGTGGATAAATTTGTGTTTTCCGTTATTTAACATATCTGAACATTTCTCTTTTTAGAGCAAAACAATTTTGTTACTTCTTTGTGGAATGTCTTGAAATAAGTGTCTGTTTCTAACAAATATATTTATACGTGATATAAATGACATATTTTTTCTTCAGATATTCTGACGTTGGTTTTCGATATTTTCTTGAATCTCCCATTTCCACAAGTCAAAGGAGAGAAGATGATAGAATAACATACATCAATAAAGGTAATTACATTATTTTACTATAACAAAACATTATTTGATTTACAAATCAATTTAATATTTTTATTTGCAAAATATTAAAGTAGCTTATTTATTATAAGCTGTGAAACTAGACTTCTTTTTATTCTGATTTAATTCATAACACCCCGTTTTAGAGAGCTTTTTGGGTAGTATAGCCGACATTTAACCTAAACCTGATCTGTGGAGATGCAAAATGTTATAAGGAATCACAATAAATTTTGTAAGGAAGATTTTTATGTTGTTACACGCGATAGAAGCTATTAATTGTAAACTTTAATATTTTTTATTTTACAAAAAGCTTTTGCTATTTTTAATTTTTAGTGAATACACATTTTTTGCCAGCTCCCTTCAAGTTTAAGATTACTAATTTTATTTACTACTGACTTTCTACTTATTTTAAATGTATGTATTTTTGTAGAATAAATATGCAAGCAAAAAAATTTATCCTCCTAAAATATAGATAAACTTTATAAAGATTATTATATAGGCAATTTTCTTTATTTAAAACCTTATCTATAATTTATCCAATCACTCGATTTTACAAGTGATATTGAGGCACTTATGCTTGTAAAAATTAAATGTATTTTTTCTAAAAAGTTAGTTAGTAGTTTCGTAAAAGTTTTAGTTTTTACTTTAGTTTTCGTAAAAGTTTTTTAAATAAACATAATTTATTTTTAGCTTTAAAATCAATACAAAAATACAGAGTGCAGCACATAGCTCACCAAATAAATAACATTCGTTGCGCTTTTATTAACCAGATCAAATAATAAGTATGGTTCACATAGTTTTATTAATTTCTTTTTTGAAATAGGTCAATTTTATGGGATTACTCTTGAATATATTCCTGATCATGAGAAAGCACCCAAGAGTACTACAGTCAAGGTAACTCCTTTTAACTTATCTAACTAACCATTCTAATCTAACTTATCTAACTTTTAACTTATATGAGCAATTCTACAAATAAACGCCAGTTAGGCGGCCAAAAAAAAATAAAAAATTTTTTGGGAGGCACACTATTTCTACATGAATTTTCTTCTTCTTTACACCCTAAAAAGGCGAGAAAAAATCATGAACATGAAATTTTTTCTTTGTGACATACTTTAAATGTGACATACTCTTTCTGACATACTCAGATAAATCTGAGCCGTTTATTCAGATAAAACGATTTTTACATAAATATAATATTATTATAATGTCTCTCTAATATGTATTTATAGAGATTTCATACTATAAGATTATATTTTAGTATAAAAAACAAAACTAAAAAAATTTAATCAAAGTTCGTAAATTGAAAAAATCGGGAAAAATTCAAAATTGGTATTTTGTCATTTAAAGTATGTCACAAAGAAAAAATTTCATGTTTAATATTTTTTCTTGCTTTTTCAGGGTGTAAAGAAGAAGAAAATTCATGTAGAAATAGTGTGCCCCCCAAAATTTTTTTAATTTTTTTTTGGCCGCCTAACTGGCGTTTATTTGTAGAATTGCTCATATAACGAACTATGTTTAACTAACCATTCAGATATTAATACTGAATTAAATTGAACTTCGAAAAGTTCAGCTCGTGTAAAGTTGGCTTAACAATAATATCATGCTGCGATTTTAATAAGGTGGTGAATTCGCACCCAGTGAGTTGAGTATTTAAGTAAGATTAAATTGCATGATTATGATACAACCTTATTAAGATTGCAGCAAATTTGGGCGATATTATTGTTCAACACGGTCCAAAAGTATTGAAGTTAATTTAATCGTAAATACTCCAGTGGAAGTTCTTTGAAACAAAAAAATGGAATAAATTACTCTTGGAAAAAATTTCAAATTTGAAGTAAAAGCTAAAAAATATCTTTTCGAAGAATTTCCAAACTTTATGACATGAATTAAAACATAAATTTTGTTTTATGCAGAGTTACATTATTTTTATTTGTATTTTACTCAAAAATTTAGATTACTGCAATAAAATTGAAAGTTAAAACAAAAGCAAGGGGATTCTGCATACGAAGGGATTTGGTTTTTGCTTAAAAAAACCCAGATTGCCGAAACATGTTCTCATATTATTTTACTTCTTTATAATTGACTATATCTTTTAATGCAAAATATAAATTTCTTTTTAGTAATATCTTCCAAAAGTGAAATGACTTTTTGTCAGTAATAAACTTTCTTCTCTGGTACACGTTTAAATTAATTTATTGCAAAAAAGGACAATCAGCAGTGCTGCAGATAGGGTTCTTTTCAGAACGTGTTTCAAAGCATAAAATATTTGATGAATTAAATAAAGTTCATTTGATTTTCTTAGCTTTTAAATTTCAAAAATAAGTCTAAAAGTAATTTCTAAAGGGAAAAAATCAATTTTTATTGCACGAAAAAAGTTTGATTGTTTGATATGCCTTGTTGTGTAATCAAAAAATTGCTCGGTAACTTAATGATAATCAATGAATTATATAAAGAATAATGAAGTTTAATTTCCATAACAATCGTTTGATTCAGCAAGAACAAGATTAAAATTAATTTCTAGCAAGAAAAAGGTTTTTTGTGAAGGATTAAATATTTAGTTAGAAATAATTTTTCAAATAACTAAGTTAGTAATTTTTAATTATAAATTGAAATGCGTTCATCACCATATAAAAATGTAATTTTATAAGTTACATGCATATACGTAAAAATTTATTTAAAATTTCACATGAAATAAATATTCATTTTATGACAATATATTCCCTCGTGAACTGTGAAAATTTTATTCTAACTTCCAAATTAAATTCATGGCCATAAAATTATTAAAAATTTGTAAACGGAGGGGACGGTCTTCTGGAAATGAGAAACTGGGGTCATATTCGGTGATCATTTTAAGTAAAAATCATTCCCCCTTCCAAATCCAATTCATGAGGGCCATAAAATTACAGAAAATTTATAAACTGAGGGGACGATCTTCAGGAAATGAGAACTGGGGTCATATTCGGGGGTCATTTTAAGTAAAAATAATCCCCCCTTCCAAATCAAATTTATGGCCATAAAATTATTAAAAATTTATAAACGGAGTGGAGGTCTTCAGGAAATGAGAAACTGGGGTCATATTCGGGGGTCATTTTAAGTAAAAATAATTCCCCCTTCCAAATCAAATTTATGGCCATAAAATTATTAAAAATTTATAAACGGAGTGGAGGTCTTCAGGAAATGAGAAACTGGGGTCATATTCGGAGATCATTTTAAGTAAAAATAATTCCCCCTTCCAAGTCAAATTCATGGCCATAAAATTATTAAAGATTTGTAAACGGAGTGGAGGTCTTCAGGAAATAAGAAACTGGGGTCATGTTCGGAGATCATTTTAAGTAAAAATTATTCCCCCTGCCAAATCAAATTCATGGCCATAAAATTATTGAAAATTTGTAAACGGAGTGGAGGTCTTCAGGAAATGAGAAATTGGGGTTATATTCGGAGGTCATTTTGAGTAAAAATCAACAGGAATGGTTATGAACTCGAAAGTTTTTTTATGCAATTATTAAAACATGAAAAATGTTTTTTACTGATTCAGTTAGTTACATCCCACTTTAGCTTCATAAATTTCCATGTTTGGATAAAAGTGCAACTAAAAACAAATTTAAGCATCTTATTATTTAATAAAATATTGCTGGCAAACATACGCTATCAATTGTTTGCAATATGATGAACGCATAATCAAATATTAAATTAGATCTTATAATTGCGGCAATTATTGAATAATCGATTCGTGAAATACTTCCTTTCCTGTCAAAATTACAAAGCCTACATAAGAACCAGAAAGAAAAACAGCCTTATTTTCACAATTAAATGTGTCGTTTACTATTGAATGCATCCCTTTCTTTTTATTAAGCAAACAAAAAACCTTTTCAACTCTATGTAAAATCAATAGATTTGAAAAGAAGGTAATCCCTGATTTGCTTGATGTCCTTATTATTCTGTCCAGTCACGAAATCTTATCAGACAGTCACGCTCTTCGTTTGTCAGTGAATCTTTCTATGGCCTCTCCTTTCACCCTAAAAGATCTTAGCGAACTTTTTTTTTCCACTTCAAACCACGAAGATATATTTTACCACCCTAATTTCGTCAGCTAAATTAGATTGTTCGATATAAAGTTAACGCAACTCCTTTTTTCTTTGCTTCTTTATAAAAAATTTAAAAAAAAACTTAATTTCTGTCAAAAGAAAGCATTAAGAAGTCGCTTTTAATAATCTCACTCATTAAAATTATATCATCTTAAATTAATGATTTCTATTTTGAGTTTTATAATATTTATTCATTTTTTATACTATAGCACAAGAACCATATCCTCTATAATTATTAAATTAAGTTTAATGTTACTTCCGTATTGAAAATATGCTAAAATAAGAGCACAAAATAAAAAGCCTGATGACCAGTGGATTTTCAAGTACAAAGAAGAAATTTTAATTGTTCGAGGGTTGAAAGTTAAATTAGATTCCTCGGTTTAAGTTTAATAGTAGTTCCTTGAAGAAGTTGTTTGAAAGTCTAATCTTAGATAGACTAATTAATTTGTTCGATTAATATTTTAAATTACGTAATCAGACAAAGTGCTTTCTCAGAACTTTTCTTTCGCTAGATTCGGGTTCTTAACCCTCAAAATATGGGAGAGGAGGTAGCCACAATATACACTAGTGTAAGAAATTTGCAGACTTGGTCGATTATCTCCTTAACTATTGGACCGATTTTAATGAAATTTGATATGTGCATACATTGATACAATACAAAACAAATAACCATTCAACAATTGTAATACACGTGCATGATCGTGCGCAACACTCGTTGGAATCGGAAGGTATGAAACAGCAGTTGCTGAATAAACAAAAAAAATGGGTTAATAGGGGGGTATGATCCCCTCTTAAGGTCTTGCAGCGGGATTTCATACTTGAAATAAGGCAGTTTATCGTTTCTTGTGGCAATTGGCCTGAATTGTTCTGTGGCAATTTCATGCCTTCCCACTCCAGCGAGTGTCCCACGCGATCATGCTCTTGTCTTACAATTGTTGAATGATTATTTGTTTTATATTGCATCAATGTATGTACTTATCAAATTTCATTAAAACCGGTTCTAGAGATAATCTGCCACGTTGCAAATTCTCTTAATTTATTAGACCAGTGTATTTGTTGAGAATGCAGTTACCCCTTTATGTTAATTTCAATTTTTGCCATATCTACAAAACTATTTTAGCAAATCAAAAAAGTTTTAAACAGGATCATAAAATTTGTTTATCCAAAGATAATTTCACGAAAAAAAATATTTTTTATGCATTTTTTATTATTATTATTATTATTTAACTTAGTAACAGTCGAAAAAATTTTAAACTGTCTACGAACTTTTACATTATTTCAACCGATGAATAGCAAAATCCTAAACTCGAACGGAATGGATCAAACAATTTTTGAATTATGAAAATACTAAAATAAAGCTTTTTGGAAATTTTATTTTTCAGAAACAACTCGTCAAATTCCGTTCACATTTTGCATTTTGTCACGTAAAATTATGAAGTTTAAATAAAGTAAAAATATGCTTAAGTAATTAAGTTACATTTCAAAATTTTTTATTAGATTTAACTATAAAAATAATAATAAACATTTTTATATGGCTATATCTTTAAATGTTTTATGTTTTATAATTTCTTTCAAAACGTTTTTGATTCGGTTAAATAGCTAATTAAGATAAATAATTAATAGTTGAAGCTAATATCCTTTAAAGTTTTAACAAGAGACTTTCATAATTATTAACTTTCAAAATTATTTACTAACTATAACAACTTTCATAGTTGTTTACAAGCAATTATCATAATTATTTAGAGTCAACTTTCATAATTATTAACTATTAACTTTCCAAATTATTTACTATAACAACTTTTATGATCGTTTGCAAACAATTATCATAAGCCCCGGACCCCCATGAAATTTGACCATTATTATTTGGAGTCAACTTTCATAATTATTAACTATTAACTTTCAAAATTACTTACTATAACAACTTTTATGGTAGTTTATAAACAATTATCATAATTATTTAGAGTCAACTTTCATAATTATTAACTTTCAAAATTATTTACTACAACAACTTTTATGGTTGTTTACAAACAATTATCATATTTATTTAGAGTCAACTTTCATAATTATTAACTATTAAGCTTTTAAAATTATTTACTTGGAAAACTTTTATGGTTGTTTGCAATTATCATAATTATTTAGAGTAAACTTTCATAATCATTAACGAAGAACTTAACAATCCTGATAAATCTTTAAAGTTATCATATTTATAATGTTTCCTGCAATCGTTTATTAACAATAAGATAGTGATAGGTTAAGTACTCTTTGTTATCACGTCGTAATAATGCTACAAAACTTTTTTTTTATTGTAGAAAAAAAAATCGAATTTCTTTCTTACTATGCATCATCTCAAACATGATGAATTTCTCAATGTTTATTAAATCATTTAAGAGACTATGTTACTAATTTATATGGATTCATTTGTAACTGTCAGAACCACTACAATTAACCTTCAACTTACAAATCACGACCAAAAACTCCAATATGGGAATTTGATATAAAAATTGATACTCGCTTCGACCCTTCTTGCAATGCACAATGGAAATCATCTGATTTTTCTGCTGAAAGTAGGTCACTGAAAATTAGGGCCGTAAATAAATCAAGAAAAATGAAAAATAATATAGATAACCTTTAAGAGAAACTAAGAATCGTAGGAGTACAGTCAAGGAAACCACCATTGTTATAAATATTGTTATTGGATATTATCACTTATACAGATCTTTCTGAATCCCGCATGAGAGCCTTGGATAAGGGGTTACTCAAATTTGTAGTCTCTTCTAAGTCAAGTGTTATCTCTCGAAAATCCAGTAAAACAGCCTTGAAGAACTGAATATTAAGAAGAAAATTGAAATCATTTCTGTTATTTCTTCTTAATATCTTTTTTTTACCATCGTTTCTAAATATTATACATGAAATCCATGAATAAGATATATGAGTGTCGTAGGTGTCTGCTTTTTGAGTGGAGGGGGAAGGTGTTAGTAGACAAAGTTAAAATTCAAAGTTACAATAGTGTCTAACTTTCACGCGTAAAAAATCGAAAATAACTTTTTCCATCGCATTTCTTAATTTTTTAATTAAATCAATGAGTCGTGAAATTTTTTAAAAATTTATTTGTAATAGAGATTGAATTATTGAAGGTATGATAGAGCTGTGAAGTTGGGGCATTGAAAGTTCGATTTCGAATACGGACTTTCAATAGACCCCGACATTATATTAACATTTTTACCGAATACAAGAAAAGTATTAATATTATTAGTAAGTTAATGTTAATTTTAAATTACTTCAATTTTAAGTAGGGTAAGAGTTCGAAGTATCTAATTTCTAATTAGATACTTCGAACTCTAATGTTTCTCTACTCTAATAATTTCTAATTAGATAAATCGAACTCTAATATTTCTTTACTCTAATAATTTCTAATTAGATACTTCGAACTCTAACACTTCTCTACTCTAATATTTTCTAATTCGATACTTCGAACTCAAATATTTCTCTACTCTAATAATTTCTAAATAGATACTTCGAACTCTAATACTTCTCTACTCTAATATTTTTTAATTAGATACTTCGAACTCAAATATTTCTCTACTCTAATAATTTCTAATTAGATACTTCGAACTCTAATTGCCTTCATTTTTATAACACAAAAGTTAAAAGATATAATTTTTTTAAAACGTATTTTAACAAAATATTGAAAATTACGTAGCACAATTACTAAAAAGTCGAAGAGTTAGATATCAATATTTGACTGTTATAGTTGTAAACTATAATATTTATAACATTATCTGATTATCCACTGATATAATATCAATATTATAAAGTTGTCCCAATAATTGTACTACAAGACGTTTGCCCTTTCATCCGAGGTGAGCTCTAAGCCCATCTAGATATTACTAAAGGGCAGAGGGGTCTAACTGGAACAAAACTTTAACATTGCTCTCTAGATGAATTTATTATTTCCTACGCAATTCTTTTTTACACAGAATCAAATAAAATCAAATTTAAATCAATGAGGTTAATAGTTTCGAAACTAAAAGTGGTTTTATTAATAAAAAGTACGATTTTTAACTTGCACCAATTTACTTGTCTGATACAGCTTTTCAAATATATAAAGTATTGTTTCCTAACTTTTTTTTTTACCTTAAATTGAATGAAATCAAAATTAAGTCTCTTTTTTTACACTGAAATTGGTCAAATAAATAACATTCTAATTATCATAATATTAAAAACTATTATAATAATAATAATTATTGTAATATTATAATTATTAAAATAATTTTTTGGTTTTAGTCTGTCGTTATGCTTATGTTCAGAGAAGAAAAAGCACCCGACGAAGAGTTGAAAGCTTGGCAGTTTTGGCACAGTCGGCAACATTCGGTGAAGCAAAGAATTTTAGATGCTGGTTCGTTAAGTTTATTAGTAAATTATATTTATATATATTATATACACTATTGTCAATTTTGTATTTGGTTTGCGTTGTTGTTTATCCTTATGCTGGATTATATTCTCAGCAATAAAGAAACTATTAATATAACTAATATGAACTATTTACACTTTTTAAATAATCTTTTGTTTTTCAGACACTAAAAATAGCAGTGGGATAGTTGGCCAAATAGATGAAATAACGCACAATGCCATTGCATTTTATTGGAACCCACTTGAAAGCCCTGCAAAAGTAATAATTTTATTATTATTTCCAAATTTTTCTTTTAATATTGAAATAAGATCTTATAAACAGTTGGTATTTTTTTTTTCAGTTCTTATTTTTTTTTAACTTTTTCAAATTAACTTTTTAAAACTTTTTAAGCTGTTATTTATTAACAGTTCATAAATAACAGCTTAAAATATAAGTTTTCAGTTGGTTTTAATGGTTCAGTATAAGTATGCAAAACATTAGTTGGTTCATATTCGTATAAGAAACCTTAGTTGGTTTTGTAACGTTGGTTGGTTCAGTGTCAGCTTATAGAACATTAATTTAGAGGAAGTGCATAAAAAAATTGGTTGATTCAGTGTTACTATACAAAATATTGTTTAAAAAAGATAATTTGAATAGATAAATACAGAAATACGCCGAATGTTAATCTGACATTACTTAAAAAAATAAATAAATAAATAAGCCCAAGTAAAGTTATAATCTGTAATGATGTCTTAACCATAGAACCAAAAACCCTCTAAAAATACAAAACTTCAATAATAAAAAAAATCATTCGTAAATATCAAGAGTAACTACGACTAAACAATATTTTCTTCACAGGTGAACATAGCCGTGCAGTGTTTGAGTACTGATTTTAGCAACCAGAAAGGTGTAAAGGTAAGAACTGTATGTCTATTTTTAAAGTGAACTATTAACTGCTAATTTAAAAAAAATAGGTTACATAATATATTTCCTTGATTTTTTATATGTTACTGATTTTCATTTATTAGATTTTTAAAGACTCTCGAAATTGTTACGTTTTTTAATAGTGAAAATATATATCGTAACAAATTTTTTTAAAAAAATCAAATCATTTTGGAATATCTTTAATTAAAAAAGATGAGAAACTAAAATAAACCCATTCAGCACATTGTTTTGCAAAGTTAAAAGCATTAGCATTTATTGTTAAAATAATTTAATCGATGCTTCATTATCATTTATTATCAAAATAATTTAATCGATGATTATATCATTTATTATCAAAATAATTTTATCTATGCTTTAATAAAATTACCATTTATTGTCAAAATAATTCAATCGATACTTCATTATAATATTATCAAAGAAATTTAATCGTTGCTTTATTAAAACATTATCATTTATTGTCAAAATAATTCAATCGATGCTTCATTGTAACATTATCATTTATTAACAAAATAATTTAATCGATGCTTTATTGCAACATTGTCATTTGTTGTGAAAAAATTTATTACGTCTACATAATTTTACTTAATTAAAATAACCGACAAAAAAAGCTCCGAACGTTTCAGACAGTTTATTTATTACCTAAAGCAAAAAATATCCTGTTTTCTGCAGATATCACAATTTTTTTTTTCATGTTTCTGCTGTAATGGTTCATAAACATTGAAGAAACGTCGCGAACAGCTAGAAGAGAAGTTTGTTGCGCTGCTGACTATTTATTAGGAAACAAAATATATTACGCAAAAGTATCGATTCAATTTTGCTATTGTTTTTTTCTTCCATTCTTTTAAAGCATGACTCAGAGCCGTGATGGCTCAGGGGGTGGAGTGTTCGCCTTCCAATGAGGTGAACCGGGATCGAATCCCACCAATGGCTGGTCGATACGAATCCGCATCCGGCTTGCACCGACCACAGTGCTGACATGAAATATCCTAAGTGGTAGACGGCACACGGGTTAAAGTCCCTTTGCCGTCAGGCTAACTTTGGGAGGTTCTCGTGGTCTTTCTCTTCATTTAACGCAAATGCGGGTTAGTTCCATCAAAAAGCCCTCCGCGAATCAAAAATTTCTCCCTATACTTTATCCAGGAGCTCCCTTGTCTTCTGGATTGGGTTCAAAATTACAAGACTACGAAGTTGAACATTCGAATCGTAAGCCCAAATATTGGGTTAGATCTTTAACGACGGTTATAAAAAAAAAGAAGAAAAAAGCATGACTTAAGTAGTTCATGCATTTAGTAAATCATATATTGAAAAATCTGAGGGCTTTTTATAAATTTATTTAAACCCCTCCTTAATTTTTTTTCTACAAAATTTATAAGAAAATTATAAATAAATGATTTTTCAGATTTGGTTTTTTTACAAATGTACTCATTTTCCTAAGATGACACTATTCAGTTCTATCTGTCACTTTATATTTTACTAAACATTCCGCATGGAAAACTGTTTCATTCAAGACTTTTTGATCTTCTTCTTTACGGATCTTCTTTCCGTATTACATTATCTTAAATTAATTTCTTGAAATTAAATTAAATTTTTTTCTTTTTAAACTCTCAAAACAATTTGGATCTGCGGTATATAACGTATATAACAGTTTTAAAATGGTCATTCTGAATACAAAGATGTAAAAAGCATTTTTGTTCCGTCTTAAGTTATTATTCCAAACGAATTGACTCGCTACTGTAATTAAAATTGTTCTTTAACGAGTCACTATTTACTGTAATTTACGACTGTTCAAAGAAGAAAGAGCTTTTCTTATGAAGTAGATTAACAGTCACGTCAAAAAACAACTTTTTTAGTGTCTTTGTTCCTCTCTTTCAAAATCACTTTTGATGCTTTCTTCTTCAGATTGAGACCACGAAATCCAATTAATTGTTATTTCTGACATCACCTCGTTTAAGTATAGATTGACGCTTTTTTCTTTTCTTTTCTTCATTATTTGTGTTGACTTAACAGGCACATTTACCAAACTTTTTTTTTTAAACCAAATTTAAACAGAAACGAAATCGAAAAAGTTTCATTCTATTTTAGTGTTTTTACTTTTTACTTCTCCGAAAAATCATTAACCACCTTATTTACTTAGCAACGACTGTTGAATATCTTCTTGACCTTTTCAATTAAAAATCCACCAAGAAATAATAGAGTTTTGAACTAATCATGAAATGATAAAAATAGACAATAAGACAATACTAATTTAACTCGTGATCAACTTAGCTTAAGATCATTTTTTTGACGCGATAATTTTAAACCAATCTAAAAATAATTTATTTCTTTAGATTATCAGGTAATATTAACGGGTCAAATAATAAACAACTTTAGATTTACCTTAATGACGATATAATTTTAAGACCATTTAAATAAAATAATAGAAATCTTAATCAAATAAGCATGATTTAGAACTAACAATTTCATGACGTTAATAGTTTTTAATACATTTTAATATCTTGATCCAATAAGGAAATAAACATGGTTCAGAATTTACAACTTTAGACGCATCATTATAACGTTTTAGTTTGAAATTCAACTAAATATATTCGCTCTTGAGAAAATAATCATCAAATAAATCTGGTATAGAATTAACAACTTTAACCATATCTTAATGACGAATCCATTCAGAAGTAGTAAAACTTTTAAACCAATAATTAAATAAAAATGGTTCAGAATTAACAACTTTAAACATATATAGACTTTATAATTCATCTGAAAATAAAATCACTCTCGGGCCAATCACATTGAAATCCTATTTTTATACTTGTAGAGAAAAGATTTCGAAAGTCAGCTGACATTTACGTTATATAAGTTGAAAGTAAAATTATCCCTCTCGGCAATGATGTTTCGAAGTCATTGACACTGTAATCCATCTACTAAATGGAATATATTTAAGATAGATAAACACAAGAATTATATCTTGTATGCCTTGATTAGATAGTACCTTATTTCTAACCCTACAGTAAATGGAAAATGTTCAGATGCATTGCATTAAATATAATTTCTCATTCTATTTATAATCAAACTTTTGCGCACTGATTTGTCTCTTAAAAGCTTTGATCCTACTGTATTTAACACCAGATACACTGGAATGCTGTTTTAGAAAATATTGCGATTCGTTTTGCAAATATTAATTGTCCAGATTTTTTTTTCTTTTTTTCTTTTTTGCTTGCATCACATTAGAGTCTGTTTTTTTTTTTTTTTTTTTTTTTTTTTTTTTTTTTTTTTTTTTTTTTTTCCTTTGCTTGCATTACATAAGAGCCTGACTTATGGTAGAGCTGGAACCCGTAAATGGAATATGCTTGCTTTCATATACAATGCATGAAGTTTAATCAAGCTTAAAAATTTGCAATTAATAACTATCTTTTAGAATTTTTAATCCTTACTTAGAAAAGATGTTATTAAACAACACATTCACTTTTCGGATTGGCGTTCTATTTTACAACGTATCTTTTAAAAATATGGGTGTTGTCCATATATTTTTTTTCCATTGATGGTGTCTCACTGGAGCTAGACTAATGAGCTGTTGGAGACGGTCTTGGATTCATCCTTAATAATGATCCGAGGACAATTAATGGCGCATGCGCACACTACACAACCACGATTCTAATCAGAGAGTTGATGATGATTGCGCAGATCTGATAGGCATACTTTTTATTTTATTTAATAACCGTCGTTGAACAGCCGACCCAATTTTATGGGTTTACGACTACTAATGTGCAACTCCGTAGCCCTGTAATTTTGAACCCAATCCAGAAGACAAGGGAACTCCTGGATCAAGTATTGAGAGAAATTTGCCTTCGTGGAGCACTTTTTTATGGAGCTAACCCGCATTTGCGTTACATGGAGAGGAAGACCACGAGAACCTCCCACGGATAACCCGATGGCAAAGGGACTCTAACCCATGATCCGTCTACCGCTAAGGATATTTCACGTCAGCACTGTGATTGGTGCGAGCCGGGTGCGGATTCGTATCGACCAGCCATCGCTGGGATTCGAACCTGGTTGATCTCATTGGAAGGCGAGAGCTCTATCCCCTGAACCATCTCAGCTCTGATAGGCATACTGTAAAAGGTTTTCGTGCATCTGAGCACCAGAAATGCTGGCAACTACTTCATACCAAAAAGATGTTTCACTAAGTGTTCCGCAAAGCCAAAACGAAAGATAGTTAATGGTGTACTGAAATACCTAAAATGCCCTTTTATACTATTTGGTGTAAAGTTGCTGCACCATGTTTGTTATTCAGCAATGCTAAAATTTATAATTGCAGTAAGATGTAATTCACATATGAATTATCAAATGTACTTTTACGATACAATCTGAAGCACGAATCACAAATTTAGGATTCATATATACAATATTTCCTAAAATAAAATTAGTTGTTTAATTAAACAGACAGACAGACGGAATATTATTATAAATTCGTACCAAGGCGAAGTGAATAGATGTTAAATATTATAAAATTATTTTATACAATTGACAGATTTATGTAAAATTTATGAGAACATAAATACATTTATTACGCAAGTAAAAACGTGCATGCGTTTTATAAAAATTTATGTGAGTAATTTGTGTTATCTATCCGACAAGATGATTGTAATTATTTGGCAAATAATCGACCAAAATCAATATTTTTTTATCAGTAACGGGGATGGAAACTTACTTTGCAATAACCAGTAAGACCAGTTACTATGTCCAGTTTTTCGATTAAATCCAACAGGAGGAACTCATGTTTTGACAGTACACTTGTAAGCAAACGGCCATCTATAACTCCATCTATAGGCTGCCATATTGTCACTGTGACATCGGGTCACAGGGTTGCAACTTGCAATTTGGACTCTTTCCCTCTTTAGGGGGAGCCGCATTAGAATTTCTGGTATCCAGCACCTGTTTATCAGCCTCTATGATTGATAAGTGAGATTTTGTGAGTT